CTACTTAAGGGGGACTATAAGAGCACCACTGGTCCATGTCCTACGCGCAAGTGGAACACCAGGCCTCTCTCTCCTCAAGTCCTTTCTTCTCTCCACCGCGAATGCTCATCAGGGAGGCTGAGGCTTATGGTAGTTGCTCTAAATATGGGACCCCCAATATAGACCCCAAAATACTATAATCCTTGTTGTGTGGACCCTACAAAAAGGTACCCCTAATTGTGGGAAACCCCCAATCCCCATAAACTAACAGCAACGACCAGACTTTGCTCCCTTTGCAGGGAAGCAAGCTCTGCGTCATCTACAGAGATACATTTGGGGGTTTACCAAAATTAGGGGTACTTTTTTGAGGGTCCCCATATATAGTAATAAGGATTATGGTATTTTGGAGTCTAGATTGGAATCCCTTCTGTATGAAAGCTACCATTTAGATTTCTTTGGCCTACGGCGCACGGTGCAGGAGAAGTCCAGGTCTGCCATTAGCCATTACTTCTCCCGAGAATCTCCCCCGCTGGGGCTCCATTAGGGGGGGTTATATGGGGGATACTGGAAAAGAACATGGAAACAACTATACTATAGGGTCTTGTAGGGTTGATATTTGGGGGTTACATGGGGTAATAGTTTGACAGTAATAGGACTTAGGGTTTTAGGCTTGGGCTATCGCACATGTCCTTCCTTCATCCCCAGCTTCACCCAGCAATCTACACCCGCGTATTAATGCAAGATGAGCGTCGTTCTCCTCGCAGTAGGGCAAAGCCTCTCAAGTTGTGAAGTCCAAGTCTCCAAAACTATGCCTCAACCCTGAGCCCTTCAAACCATAAACTGGCGTTCCTGATATGCTGGGAGAGGGTAATTGAGACAGCCCACTCCAAACTAAAGAGGCAACAGTACTGCCTGGCTTTAGTTGCAAGAACTTCCTTCACCGGCTGTATCGGATTGATGCAAAAGCAGAATATGCACATGGTTGCTGTGAAAGTTCCTTGCCTGCCCATCAAACCTTCATGGTGCCAAGGACATCAAGGACATGCATGCAGGTGACCACGACCGTGCACCTTCTCCCACTGCTCTTCGAAGTTGAGATCCACGTTTTTGATCCCATGTTTCCGGAAGAAGTCGTCAAATTTGGGTTTCAGGTCCTGCGTGGGCATCCTGTGGTTTCGCTCATGCAGGGTTGGGGAACTCTCTCTCTGTCTTCTCTCTCTCTCACACACACACTTTCACATTCACGCTGGAGGTCGCATCAGGGTTGCCCCCTCCCAACACTTCTCAGCGTGCAGCGCACGTGAGATGGACATGCACTGGAAGTAACGCCCAACAAGCCCACAAACAACATCCATGAATACGAAGGGGTCACGGCGCTTTCCACTGTATGCTCTCAGCACTTCCTTGATTCCTCTCGACATCCGGTATACACCCGCCACAAGGCAAAAAGCCTGGCTGACAATGAATGACGACCCTTGTCTGGAGAAAAGTACGCTGAAGCCATATTGACAGATTTACGCCCGCACTCAACCCTACAACAGGCATGGACTGTACACGCATGGAGAAGGAAATGAATATATGCACTACAGCGAGACAGTGGTCGCTTTTTCGTACCTTCTCCAGATTTCTCTGTGCATGGCTTCCCCTTGTTCACTTCGTGATGAAGTGTGGCCCACAGGATAACTGGTGATGAGCATACATCAGGAATGGTAACATTATGATGGCATCGCAACTTACATGCAAGGGTTTGCGTCATGATGGGTAAGGGGATGCATCTTGCATTGTGACGGTCTTGGTGGAGCCACAACACAATTGACGCTCCATGCGGCAACAACGACATGGCCTTCAGGGAGCCTCCATGTAACACCCGTACATGAGGGCATCAGGATTGAAAGGCAGTAGCTGCAAACAGTCAAGGGCTTCAGTTGGTGTGGGGGCCAGTAAGGGTTTAGGGTCTACAGGGGGGCTAGTATGGGAGGTTCCTGCAAGCATTGCTTGAGGTTCCTCCCCAGGCTCCAGGCAGCTCATCATGTTCAAGGAATGTATTCCCTAAACCCTAAACCGTAAACCCTAAACCCTAAACCATTTAGAGGGAATGTAGTTCCACTTAGTTGCAAATAATGGTAATAAGCATAAAAATCAAAATAATACAAATAGAACAAAATAAAAAATGATGGTAATAACAATCATAGCAGCAATAATAACACCACTACTACTACTACTACTACTACTACTACTAAAATAGCAATACTTGCAGTAATTGTTTTCACTAATAATGACAAGAGTAGCAGTAATAATAAGACGATTACTTCGAATACTAGGTAAATAGCTACAGTAATAATAAAACTAGCAAAAACAGCAGTAGCCACTGGCTTTCTTTTCGCGAAGCTGGCTCGCTGGGTCATTCGTTCCTTTGGCCGTTGGGGGTCAGCACGTGTCTAAACAAATTGGTAATATTAGCACTGCTCATTCTTGTTCTTACTGTTAATATTGTTATTGCTACTGTTGTTCTTAGTACTCGTGTGCAAAAAGAGGTGGGCACTAGTGGCCGCAGATGTCCCTCTCGCTCTGTCTTCTCTTGTCTTTGTCTTCCAGTCATAGCTGTCCACGGCCGGCGCCTAGTCTCGGACTTCAGCTATTTTACCCTTTCGACAGTCTTTCATGTGGCCACCTCTGGAAGGGGATAAACCCACCTGGAAGTTTCCCTAAATTACTGTTCCCAAAATGGGGGAAATCTATGTATGGCCCTGTACTATCATAGGAACCCAAATATAGGACCCCGTATTAACAGTAATTTAGGACAATCCCCACCTCTCCTCAAAGTAGGACTGGTGCATGGCCATGATCCGTATCACAGTCAGCGGCCTTCCTCGAACCTCGCGTTCCTTGGGGCACCAGTTACCAGACCCCCAAAGGGGATCTAAAATTGGATCCCCTAGAAGACTATGTGGACTTATGTAGGGATTCTAGAGAGGATATTATGGCTTTTTCTAGGGGATCTAATTTCTAGATCCTCCCAGGGGTCTGGGTAGGCTTCAGGATTAATGCCCTGGCTGTTGTGGCAAATTATCAGAGGACTTGCGGATTGATCACAATTACGATTACCATGAGTATTATTGTTATTACTATTACTGCTAACCCTATATTACGCTATATTATCCCTATATTACCTAGTTCCTTCTGCCATGACTCCATCTTTGTTCCCCTGAACATGAAGTCGATGAACTCGCCCACTTGCAATTGTCCATCCTTGTTGTAGTCACCTCAGAGTGAGCTGGTGCGGACAAGCTACCTACACTGACAGCACGCAGTGATGTCGCAGTCAAGACACACTGTTCAAGGAGACTGCCAATCATCTCATCCTAGGGCTCACATTCACATTGGGGTTTCCCAAAATTAGGGGTACCATTTTGAGGGTCCCAATAATAAGGTTTATAGTATTTTGGGTCTAGAGTGGGGTCCCCCTATTTGGGGAAATTACCACATGGTTTTGGGATTTAGGGTGTTAGGGTTTGGGGGCTTAAGGTTCGGAGTTTAGGGATTTGGGTCTTTAGGCGGAACAGAAAGGTTCCAGCACTCCAGCAGCTTCCTGAATCTTTCCATCCATAACAAGCAAATCAGAAGTCCAGAGCGTGCCGAGGTGCATCCCAGTCTACGATTTTCTGGAAGATGTTTTTAAGCCTGGGACAACTTGCAAATTTCGAGGTGGAAATTGTTCTGTTGGTGGTTGAACTACGCAAGATTCTGCTCTACTTATAAAATACTACACCCCAAATAAGGACATGCCACACCATGACGAAAACTTTAGTATCCCTTTGTCACATCCTCAACCTCCACCCAACACCCCCCCTTACGATGACAAATATTCCCCCCTAAACTGAAATGGTACTATTTTTTTTTGAAAGGGGCATACTATCAGGGACCGACCTAAACCCTAAACCCTAAACCCTAAACCCTTACCCACGAAAGACGTCCAGGGTACTCCTCTCGGCTGAGTTTGCCATCCCAATTGTGGTCCGCAGCCCTCAGAAAGCTTGCTAAAGGTCATATGGGGGTTTCCTAAAATTAGGGGATACCTTTTTGGGGGTCCCTATAATAAGGACTATAGTATATTGGGGTCTATATTGGGGTCCCCTTATTTAGGGAAACTACCATATTGAGATAGGAAGTTGGTTCATATTCTGATAACCTATCCCATAAACCCTGTATGAGCCATAATCTAAACTCCTAGTATCGTCCCCTACATAATCCCCTAAATAACACACCCTAAACCCTAAACCCTAAAAGGGAACCCATGGGCCCAAGGGGCTCGAAGATCTTCTTGACCCTCTCGGCGCCTTCCCATGTCGACATACGTGCACGATACGTGTAACCCGGACCCCGGATTAATAAGCCCCTCCCCTTGATAGGGACTATAATAAGGACCCCAATCTTAAGGCCCTGAAAAGGAAGGGGTTGATTAATCATGGGTCTACAGTAAGTGTAGCTTGATGGACTTTGCTGTGTTTTTGAACGCTGTCTTGGAGATGCATGATCATGCTTGAGCCCAAAATCTTGCAGAGTTGCTCTTCACCAGCATCTGTTCGGTGAAGCCCTCACCCAGCAGACAGTGGCAACAATGATAAAAGGGTCCTACACATAGTTACTAGTATCTCCTGATCACTATTGCTAGGTGGGGGGGCCTTACCTAAATCCCTGTTTTCTGCAATGTGAGTCATGATCTAAACTCCTAGTCTCCACAGCATCCGCCTTAGAACACCGTAGTCCCTTGTATAATTCCCTATAGATCCGCTCTCTAAGGAGTTTAGACCCTAAACCTTATATAACCCCCTATATACATCCCCCCTTTAAGGAGTGTAGACCCTAAACCCTATAGAATCCCCTATACATCACCCCCTTTAAGGAGTTTAGACCCTAAACCCTAAACCCTATATCCCCCCCTTAAGGAGTTCAGACCCTAAACCCCAAACTGCAGCTCATGTAAGCTTCCACCCAGGCCTTTGCTATGCCGAGGGCGGGGCATAGAGGCCTATCAATGTGCCTGTACGCCCCAAGCCGGCCTCCAAACAAATTCCAGCCAGTTTAGGGCTTAGGGTTTAGGGCTTAAGCTTCAGGCGCTAGGGTTTGGGGTTTTAGGCTTAGGGCTTAGGGTTTAGGGCTTAGGGTTTTGGGTATTCGCACCAAACTTGCTTGTTGCTAGCAGCAGCAGCAGCAGCAGCAGCAGCAGCAGCCGCCGCCCGGCAGCGTGAATGCAAAGAAATGGAAACTACTATAGCAGATAAGGCTTAGACTTCAGAGTTCAGGCTGGTTAGGAAATGGAGGAAACTATTGCACTACGCAGGACTAGTTTAGGGATCCATTCGTCCGTTCCCTACTGAGAACCAACGGCGCAGTCTGGCGTAAACGCGCGCCAAACTGAGCTGCCTATGCAAATTCCCCTGCGACCCCTTCAAAACCGCGCGGTCCAGGCTGGAGGGAAAAAACAGGAAGTACAAAGGGGTCATGCAGGGGGATGAGGGTAATTGAATGTAAGGGTGACACCCTAAACCCTAAATGCCCTAAACCCTAAACCCTAACATCCCTAAACCCTAAACCCTAAAATCCCTAAACCCTAAACCCTAGAAACCTTACGTAAACCCTAAAAACCTTAAACCCTAAAAACCCTAGACTATGAACCACTTTGGTGAGCCTGCCTTGCAGTGCACAGCCACTGCGCTCGGCTCATTCTCAACGATGTAGAGGAACTTTGAGATGATCTGATCATGGGTTTAGGGTTTCGGGTTTGGGGTTTTAGGGTTTTCGATTTAGGGGTTTCGGGTTTAGGGTTTAGGGTATCGGTATAGGGTGTAGGTTTGAGGGTTTAGGGTTCAGTGTTTAGGCAAGGGGGAACCTAGGAGGGGGGGGTGGGTAGTGTAGAGGGGGTAGCAGAGGAACTTTGACATGATCTGAGCGCCACGAAAAGCTTACTGGGGGCTTAGTCGGAGAGAGCGGAATATATTACATAGGGTGAAGCAGGGTTTAGGCCTCAGGATTTAGGGATTAGGGTTTAAGGTTTAGGCTTAACAGGGAGTAAGGGAATATATTTCATAGGGCTTATATGGGGACTATAGTCCCTTGTTCCCTACTAGGCCTTATGGCAGCGTCAAGCACAACCTGGCTTCTACGCGAACAGCTCGCATGAAGAATCATGCTCATCGACATTCACAGACTGCTTCAGGTCCTTTGAGAACCCTCAGAACGGCGGCAGGCCTCCCGATCCGGACAGCTTCCATCTAGGAAGTAGAGATCCACGTGTTTCAGGCCATGGTCCACAAAGCGCCGCCGGTCATACCTCTCAGCACGGATGGAGGATGAGTGGTTAGTGCATAGGATGGCTTACGCAGCAAGATCCAAAGCCCCCTCGGACTGCATCGGCACCTTTTGCCTTTCCGAACTGCTGCACACCGAGAGATTTTTCTCTGCGGAGAACCGTATTTGGTAACAGCCAGAGAGGTAAGCATGAAGCTGCGACCACGGCTGGCAGCAAAGCCAGCGCTCAGACAAAGTACCTGCTCCGAATGACTGCGCTCGCAACACGTTGCTTCTGGAAATTGCTCCATGGCTTCATTCTCTGCGTTCTTCGGTGTGCTGTTGGTCTTTGGCCCTGAACTGCGCCAGGTTTTCCCAAGTGGTGTCGTACAAGGATGGTGACGTCGTGGTTGAAGTCTCCCGGAAGCGGCGGCCTAGTCCCTAGCTGAGAACACCTGGAAGCAATCGCCATCTCTTATCCTGGGTTGCTGTTAAGGATCTTAGCTTAAGCTACTGTATTGGGGAAACCCGATTCATTACTCTATATATATATATATACATATATACCCATTCTTAAATTATGGTAACCCTAAACCCTATATACCCTATGTACCCTCTCTCTATATATATATATATCCATCTATCTATCTATCTATAGATATATACATGTATATTTATACACCCGTTATGGTAACCAAATCTAAGTTCCGTAACAGCAACCCAGCATCGCATCGCCCGAGGGGAAGCGGAGCTCTCCAAGAACTTTCCTGGGTTTCTTGTTTTGAATTTAAAATATGTCACCATAAGGGGGTATATGCGGTTTCCCAGAATCAAGGGTACCTTTTTGGGGATGCCTATGATAAGGACTATAAAATATTTGGGTCTATATTGGGGTAGCCTAATTTTGGGAAACTACCATATATAGTAATTCACATGGCTTCCCCAATGTAGTAACTTTAAAATCAGTTCACCCAGTTTCTGGCAAACCTGCAGCGTAGGCCTGCAGGGACAGAAAGGGATTTTGATGGCTTGTGCTTCTCATGAACATGGGGGTTCCCCAAAATTGGGGATACCTTTTATGGGGTTCCTATAATAGGGATTACATGTTTTGGGGGGTGTATATTGGGCCCCTCTTATTTTGGGAAACTACCACATGTCTCACGGCGGCCTTGAAAACCTCACACTGACGGTATGTATGGTTAAGGGTTTAGGGTTTAGGGTTTGCAATTATTCTCCTTTGTGCGGCTTCTGCTTGTGATTCTGGCCTGCCGTGGCAGTGCGCGAGTGTGAGTATCTCCGCCGGATGAAAGCGCCTGATCGAGAGCGTGCCCCACCTCAGCACATCGCTGCACTCTTTGTGACCTGCACAATATAACCCCTATATCACCCATTATAGTAGTTTAGCAGTTTCAATTGTCTTTTCCATTATCCAGTATATAACCCCAACCCGAAACCCTAAACCCAGCATAGTAGTTTCCATGTTCTTTTCCATTATCCCCTGTATAAGCCTATATTACCCTATATAATCTTAGATAGCCCTACATTGACCTATATTATCCCCATATATCCATATATTACCCTAGCGACAAACCCTAAACCCTAAACCTATATTACCCTAGAGACAACCTCTTCAAGTGCGTTCCTCTCCCACTCGTTTCATTTGCTGACTATGAGCTTCCAGGTCAGCTTTGCATTCAGAGAAATGGGGGTTCCCCTAATTAAATTAGGGGAACCATTTTGGGGGTTTAGGTTTAGAGTTTCCAAAATTATTGTAGAGTTTCCAAAATTAAGGGACCATTATTGGGGTCCCCCTATTTTGGGAAACTACCAAATCCATCCAAATCCCTACGCTGGGCGTCTTCTTCAGATCCACATTGACTGCCATGACACATGAGCATTGCTAGTCGCTGGCGGAGGTCGTAGGGATTGTGCCGAGACGGAGGCGGCGCAGTTTCCTGGAGCTGCGCCATCATATATGGGGTTTCCCTGAGGATGTGTAGGAGTTACATAGGAATTCTGGGAGTCGCCGATGGGAACTGGAAAATGATACGGCCATGGTGGGCATATCAGCTCAACTGAAGCGTCTCTCACAGGTACCTTGCAGCTTTCTTGGGATCAGCACTATCCCGGAAGCATGCTAGTGCTTGTTGGTGGAGATACGGAGTTACCTCACTTGGCGGCTGCTCGCTGCACCTGAGATTTAAAACGAAACCCTGATGTCGTCCTGAATGGAAGTATTTTGCAGAGAGTTTTCCGGGGATCTCTGGATCCCGGAACATGTTTGGCATCTTGCAAAAGTGGACATGGGAGTACGCTGGGCAACGTTGTTGGTTGCATGCAGGAGCGAACATGTCTGAAGGTTTTTGTTCACTGCAATGGATGACAAGTATCAGAGGGCTCAAAAGGTGGGGTAAAGGAAGGTGGGGTATGGGAAGCAAGCCCCGATATAATAGAGTATATACAGCTACCTTCATCCCACCTTTTGAGCCCCCTGAAAGTCCAGGCCAGCCTTGAGAATCGGCTGCCGACATGCTAGCTCGTGTGTACTTTATAGTCTAAACTTCTAAAAATGGACTACTCTAGAGATGATTAAGGGGGATAGAGGGGGGTTCGACTCTTGCCCATAGCTCATGTGGATGCTGTGGCAGAATGAACGCGGAGTCCTTTCCTGGAGCCCCAAGGCCAAGGGAACGGGAGGCAAGGGCTATGGTCATGATGCAAGAGCGCTGTAAACCACTTCTGATAGTATCGACATCGCAGCTGAACCTGGGGATCATCAGAGCTTGACACAGCTTGAAGTCCCACCAGCGATGCGCAGGTGAACAACTTAGAGGCTATCCACCTTGGCGCAGTGGTCAATGCCCACGTGGCCAGACCATGCCAGAATGACAGTTAACCTGTTCTACATATAGTCCCCCTTAAGTAGATAGAATACCGGGATCTTACTATCACATACCCAAAGCTATATTCTATCTACTTAAGGGGGACTATATGCTTTGGACCTGAACCCGGACAAGACTTGGATGCCTGAGAAGTGTTGCATCCAACGCTTTACAAGAGTTGCCTTCAAGAGAGTTTCCGACATGGTGGAGTGGAGTACAGTGCGGACATGATTGATGTGATCCGCGTCTGACGGGCATGCGAGCGTGTAGTACTGGTGGCCCCTTCTGGAATCCCTTTTTCGGAGTTTTGGAGCTTGAAACCTCTAAAAGTCCCTTAAAATATGACTGCCAGCCCCAAAACCTGGGGCCTATTTTGAAGCTTTGGGACTCAGAAGTCCAAGACGTTGGCTCCTTTGCCGTGTCAGTGGCCTTTTGTTGGGGACTCCCAACACAAGGTGACTAGCTTGTGGTTCCCAACATGTGACTCCTGCGCAGGTGTCTTTGAAACATCACCGGACAGCTGGAGCTGGCGTCTATTTTGAAAAACACAGGACAGATCGTCTTTGAAAACATTATTGAGCAGGAAATGCTTATATGCCTGTATCATACCACAACATCAGAGCAACCATGGTAGCAAACAGGTTGCGACCCTAAACCCTAAGCCCTAAATAGTAGTTTTCATTTTTTCCATCATCCCAATATTACCCCAATCTTCTACAGTAGTTTCCATTTTGTTGTCCATCATCCCAGTATTACCCCCTCCTTCAACCTCCAGTTGGAAACCAGGCGGGGAAACGTAGGGTTCATGGCGGCGAGCGCGCTTCAGCGAAGCCCTACATTGGGTAATTTTGGGATAATATTGGGATAAAGCAAAAATTAAAATGGAAACTACTATTTAGGGGTATCATATAGGGGTATAATATTGGGTTTGTATACTGGTGTAATATTGGGATAATATAAGGTGATTTAGGGATAGTGGAAAAGAAAATGGAAACTACTATAGAGTACACTGGATTGCTCTACAGCCCCGAGTATCCATCCTCGTCCAAATCCCAATGGTTTGCGCCGTTCAGTCAAAGGATCAAGATTGCCAAAGAAACATAGATTAAAGTTAGAAATGTGTTCATGGAACGCAGGCTGTGATAGCCAGGACAAGGGAAAGCAGCAGCAAGAGGGAGAGACTAGTCTTGGTCTTGAGCACCACCCCAGAAGCACTGCAGAGCATGCCAGATCAGCCAAGCTTCTACCACAGCCGACAGGATCTGCCGAGCATCGTCCTAACTTCAGGCTGTGGACAGCTAAACGACTTGTCGCTTCAAGTCCCCAGAGAGCCCAGTATAGCTTAATTAAAAAATATACCGTAAATTCTACTAGGACCCTTAATATGGTTTAAGGTACATTTTAGGAAACCGCCCCACCCTGTAACAGTGGTATAATAAGAATATAAGAGGACTAATATAATCCCTATTATCACCTATAGTCACTATTACTGGGTGGGGGGTCCACCTAATATATTCCTAGGTTAAGCTATATACATAGGGCTCCCTGGGTCCTTGAAGGCTTGCTTTGGGCATGGCAACATGTCTGTGGCCAGTCCAACAGATCACCAACGGTGGCGTCAAGTGCAACATCCACCGGGCCACGCCAAGGAAAGTCGCGCCAACCCTCAGCCGTGAGCTCGAAGTACAAGGACACCTGAATCTAACTTGAAATTAAGAATGAGAATAGAACTAGTATTACCAATAATAATAGAATAATGGTAAAACTAATGCTTGCTTGCACGCTCCACTGGGCAACCATCCATCGAGCATAAAGTCTCTGATACCTTAGTGTACAACCTCGGAGGAAATACAGCAGCACCAGATCAACACTGGGACTTAAAGGTGGCTGCAGG